TCATTATTTGTAAATGATAATTTTATCCTATGTTTTTCCTGGGACATTCACAGTTTTCAAAGTTATTGTTTTTCTTAAATACATTTTCTCATAAGTAATAGAGAAGGAGAGAAAATAGTATATTAATTATCTACTCCTGTGTAAAGTGTATCTTAAAACTTAGCAACTTAAAACACCTTTTCATTTTCTCATAGAAACTATTGGTCTGGAATCTGGGTGTGCCTTAGCAGGGTAGTTCTGGCATAAGGTCTCTTACGAGATTTCAATCAAGCTGTCATTGTAGCTGCATTCTCATTCGAAATCTTGACTGAGAGAATAATCCCTTAAAAATTCACTCATACAGTTGTTAGTAGGCCTCAGTTTCATGCTGGCAGTAGGTCAAACAAGAGATTTCCATTCCTCAAATGTGGGCCCCACCATAACCTGAAAAAGTATCTTCAGGGGCGACTGTATTCCCCCTAAGGGAATGACTAACGATAACAGTGCTAAGAATAGTTTAAAGAACAAATATGTGAAATCAAACTATATCTGATGACAGAATGTGTTAAGAAGTAACTTTTCCAGCTCAGGAAACAGGGAGGGAAAAATAAAACCATTAAAAAATTGAAAACTTCATTAGTGGTAATACAAAGGCAATTTAAAAGATAAGAATGTAGCTATCATATTTGAAAAAGTCAAACAAATGAGGAAAAGATTAAAGATATAAAAGTTGTTATAGAGATGATAGAGGAGACTTAAAAAAAAAATTGAAGATAGGCCTAATGGGTATGAGGAGAATTGAACAAATAAAGAAATTTTCCTGAAAAAGGAATTGTTGGGGTGCCTGCCTGCTCAGTTACTCACTTAACTCTTGATTTCAGCTCAGACCATGATCTCATGCTGAGATCAAACCCTGTAACAGGCTGCACACTCAGCAGGGAGTCTGCTTGAGATTCTCTCTCTCCCCTTCCTCTGCCCTTCACCGTGCTCTTTTTCTAAAATAAATACATAAATCTTAAACAAACAAACAAAAAGTCTTGAACCTATAGTTATATAAAATGTTTAACACCAAGACAAATCTAGAAAGTTATTGAAATTCAGAATAGGGAAAGAAACAGACATCCAGATATAAAAACTAGTCACTTAGGAGTGAAGAAATGCAGGCTGACTCAGACTTACCCATGGTAATGTTAATGTGATCAGAGAGTGGAAAAACATCTACAGAGTTTAATGAAATTAATACTGAACCCCTAATTTGATACCCAGCCAAGTTGTCTTTCAGTTGTAAAGACAACAAACAGATATTCTGAACCATGAAGCAAAACAGAAAATTTATGGAGTAAACATAGGGGAAGTGAGAGAAAGTGTGTTAATTTCATCATTCTTTGTAGGAGAAAATCAACAGATCACTTTTAAATTGAAACAATTCTCTTCTGAGGAAGGACATTCTGGAGGTGTGAATCTGATATTTCACAGACAATAACCACTTGCATTATATAGTCTGTTCATAAAAAAGGCTGATTTTTAAGAAAACACTCAAAAATATTACTCCTATGAGAAATTAACATTGTGTGTGATGGGATCTGCCTGTTACAGAAATAGCTCCAAGATTTTTACCTTCTTAAAAAAATATTTTGATTTACTGGTTATCCAGATCTTTGTGATGATTATTATATATGTTTTGAAGTCCATCTCCACAAGTTACAGATTCCATTAAGTTAAAAATTGCAAAATAGAAGGACATTGCTTAAAGTAATTCATCGTCTTCATCAATAGATGTAGTGTACTACTGCAGGAGAGTGAATCAATCTGTCTTGAGTTTACCTATAATAATACATTCTTGGTATGGAATCTTAAAAATGAATCTATTTAGAGCTAGAATCATCATTGATAACCCTTTGGTGAGGACTGGGAAGCTCTACACATGCTCTTCAACCCCTACAGTGAACTTTATTTCTAAAAGAAAAATGAGAGAGAGAGAGAGAGAGAGGACAATTGCTTGCTAAAACGCTTTTAGAAGTAACAATTGAACAACAAAGAGATACTGAAAAGAGGATAAGTAGTCACAACAGAATACATGTTGTTTAGGTCAGTCTCTTATTTTTTCAGTGTGTAAACTTACCTCTTAGCATTTCTCCAGCCTGACAACCTTTATTTCTCTTGTCCTTTCTGATAATTTTCAGAGCAAAAGATTTAGAACCATAGACATTTAGTTAAAACCAACTGTTTATTACGTTGCTAATTTTGGAGAAGTTTCCTCTCAGAACCTCAGAGTTTTCATCTCTGTTAGAAATAATTGTAATGTTCAGCTCAAAGAATTAAATAACAGTATATATTAAAATGCTTTATAAATGTTATGACAAAATTATATTAGTAATAGTAGTGGCAGGGGTAATCAGATTCTAGATTACAACAGCCTTGGATTTGTATCCCAGGTTTGCCATGTATTTGCTATATACATTTTTTTCATTAATTTCAGCCTCAGTTTTGTCATCTATACAACTGGGGATTAATTCTAGTCACATGGATGTTGTGAGTGTTAAATGATACATTGCATATAAATAATTCAGTATAGTGTCTATTATGTAGTAATTATACCACAAGAAATGTTAGTTGTTGCTGTTATTTTAATTGTTAATTATAATTTATAGAGCACTTATGGTATACTAAGTATACCAAGTATACATGTTGATGTCAACCAATCCTCATAATAATATCTTCAGGAGACATGATCATCCATAGTTAATAAATGGAGTACAAAGGATAAAAGTAAAAACAAATAAGAAGGTTAGAAAATGATGGTACTAGAATTTGAACCCAAGTATGTCTGACTCATAAAGTTCAAGAGTTTTGAAATATATAAAAATATAAAATATATTTATTAAGTGTTAATTTTATGCATTATAGGCATTTATAATATTGATTTAAATGATCATATTTATAGTGTAAAGACTAGAAGAGATATATTTTCATGACTCCATCATGCAGTTTAACTGTAACTGAGAGTTTAAGGAGGTTTCATGTGCTTTTCCAAATTTTTATAAACGCACTATGATGCAACAACAAATAGAATATTTTGACAATAATTTTCTCTAGTTATTTTTATTATATTACTTGTTTCTATTTTTGAGTAAAAGTTTTAAGTGATAGCAATGTGATTTGGTACAGAGAAACACATTTCAGTTACTTTCATGTAATATTTTATTATTTGTAGCTTAAAAAAAGAACTTCAGCTAGATTATCTAGGACTCAAACAAAATACTTGACAGTGCCTGCTTTTTAAGTGGTCAGTTTTATTGGGTGAATATTTAGAGTGCCATGAACACTTTTATTTTTCTTTGCCCAAAAAAGAATGAATACATATTTAAAGAAAATGTATAAATGTACTCTAAACCCATTATTCTAAACAGGGAGGTTTTTATCTTTTTAAGTAATAATTTTTTAAAGCTTGAGTTTTCTGGGACATTCATTCTTGTATTTCTTTCCTGATATTTTCTTATGGTTATCTACAAAGAATGTGAATCTCCAGCTGTTTAGTAGAAGCATTAGAAATATGTCTTTCCTAAAATTTTGCCTCTTCATTTTTCCAAGGCAGTGGTTTTAAATGAGGACAATTTTGACCCAGGGGACATTTAAGAATCTCTGGAGACGTTTTTGATTATATACTTTGGGAAGGTGTGCTGATGGCATCTAGTAGGTAGGGGCTTGAGAATCTTGATCTAAGGTTACTATATAATAAAATTCATGATCGATAAAAATAAAGAAAAAATTTTTACTTTCTTCTAAATTCACAATTCAAGATGTAAAAGATCCTAGATCCATATATAACTGTGAATTCTTGCACTACTACAAGCTAATAAGACTAATACTTCCCCCAGCACATTTACTTATCATTTCTCCATCAGAATTATCCTAAAACTCCGGCAGAATTATGTTAAAACTTTTGAAACCCAAGCTATCATCTGAGGCTCAATTTTATTTATACTTTTCTATAAAAATTTCATTAGTTTAAAATTACCTTTATCATAGGATTTCTCTGAATATTAACTAATTAAATGAGATAAAATTAGTATCTGGCATATAGTAGGTACCTAATAATTTTAGGTGTTCTTCCTTCTTGCCTCTTTCTCTTCTGATCTCCTTATTTACATTGTTTACCTGCTAATGAAGACTTAACTGTGTACAGTTTTGATATTCTTATTCACTTATTTGACTTCTTTTGAGGATGTCTCATTTATTCTATGAGAATATATTTATTTGCATTACATAATTTATCCTTTACACTCTAGCATTTGTTTAAAGATTTTATTTATTCATTCGAGACAGATAAAAAAAGAAAGACAGCATGAGCAGGGGGAGAGGCAGAGGGACAGGAAAAAGTAGACTCCCCACTGAGCTGGGACCCCCCCCCCCCAATGCCAGACCAATCCCAGGGCCCTGAAATCATGACCTGAGCTGAAGGCAGACTCCTAACCATCTGAGCCACCCAGGCACCCTTATACTCTAGCATTTGACCGAAATCACAAGTAGGCAGACAGACAGGTGTGGGGGGGTAGGGGCGAGCAGCCTCCCCCACTGAGCAGAGTGCCCAATGCAGGGCTGTATCCCAGGACCCTGAGATCATGACCCAAGCTGAAGGCAAAGGCCTAACCCACTGAGCCACCCAGGTATCCCAACTTTTAGGTTTTTTTTAAATGTTCTTGTTTAGCATTATCTTCTTTAGCTCCGCTTTAGATGAATACAAGATATGTATTTGAAAATGTACACCACCAATATTTGAGATATTTGTTTTTTTTTTAAATCTTATATATCATATTTTTAAAAGAAATCTTAGTCAATTAAAAAAATTCTAGGTAGATCTCTAATTTACTAAAATAGTGTAATTTGCTAGTTGTGACTTTCTTGTGTTAGTATGTCTGTTGAGCACAAGGAAAAAGGAAAAATTTTAAATATTAAAATAATAGAGAAAAAGTCTCGATATTTTTAGAAATTTTAAAGTGTGTCATTTTTGGTCCTTACAGAAAGTGTGGACTATGGGCCAGTGTTTGTACAAGAACCAGAAGATATAATTTTCCCGACTGATTCCGATGAAAAGAAAGTAGCATTGAACTGTGAAGCTCGTGGCAACCCAGTTCCCAATTACAGGTAAAAGTTCATTATTAATCATTTTTCTCAAGTATTAAAAATTTCCTTCAATGAGATTCTGACATTCCCAGGGAGTATTATAATATCTCAAGTAATTTTTAAATATTTGTCTTCTGATTTTTCCTAAGATGGCTTCGAAATGGAACAGAAATAGATTTGGAAAGTGATTATCGCTACAGTTTGATCGACGGGACTTTCATTATAAGTAATCCAAGTGAAGCAAAGGATTCTGGTCATTATCAGTGTTTAGCAGCCAACACTTTCGGAAGTATTCTTAGTAGAGAAGCCGTACTTCAATTTGCCTGTGAGTAAAGTATATGTTTTCTTCATGTATCTGTATATAGTGTGTATACATGTAATTTAACAGTTTGGTTAGGCAAAAGCTTAATGAAGACCTCAGATTTTAAAATAATGGTAAAATCTCGGTAATGATTAGAACTATGTAAACAATGTGTTTCTTTCTAAGATATTCAAAACTCCCTGAAATGTTTGCCTTCTTCAAGTAAACCCAACACACTACTCTGGGAGGTTAAAAATACTACTCATGATTTTTTTTTCCTCCACCTTTTAAAACATCTACTTATCTGCTTTTATTTTTCTACTGTTTATTATAGTCACTATTTGCTATAGTTTCTTTTAGACATAAGATCACATATTCTAAAAATTCTGCTTAGGAAACTAAAGAAATGCCTCTGAAATGCTTATGTTTCAGATTCCAACTACAATTTCTCACACAGATACCCCAGTTTTTAATTAAAAAAAGATACATACATATAATTAAACATATATACTAGAATATATACATTTTCTAAAATAGACCATTTATCTAATTAACTATTGTATTGAGTTCTTAAAACTTGTGAAATTATGTAACTTATGATGAAGACTTACACCAAATTGAGGATAGGCTACTGAGTAAAAAACAAAACAAAACAAAACAAAAAACAAAAAACAAAACAAACAATATCATTTCTTAGTAAACAATCCTACTTGAATACAAATTCTTGAGGATTACAATATTTAAAAAAATAGGAGGGTAGATTTCTTCATGTTAGTAATTTATATGTAACTTATATTGGCTATATAATTTATCACAAAATGATTTTTAATTTAAAATTACACCCTGAAGAATGGAATAATTGATTTTTCTCTATATAATCTTCATCACATATTATTTCTAATTAACCCAGAATCCAGACATCCTATTATAGGAGTGTGAAGGAGAAAGGAAAGAACAAAGGAATAATAATGGATTTAGGGCTAGGTCCCAGAAAAATCTAAATATTATCTTTTAAAATAAATTTTGTTAAGTATTTAGGACAGAACTTTACATACACCGAATATACCAAGATAGTAGCCTGAATATACTCCTTTTGTTTTAGAAAATATTATGTGGTGTATCACAAAACCTAATACTTTTCATCATGCTCATTAAAAGAGTAACCTAATAAAAAAAATGGCCCTCCTAATTGCTCTCTGTAAATAAAGTAGTACTTTCAAAACAGATACAGAAAATCTGGAGAACATGATGTATGAATACTAAGTGGCTTTTATCTTTCTCTTTGGTCTATACTGACACAAGTATACCAATTCATAGTAGCTTATATATCAACTGTTCTCTCCAAAATCACCAGTGGAGGCAAAATATGTAAACTTTTCTGTCCAATGTGTCTGTATGACTGTACTACCCTAGAATTTCTGCAAAGACTATTCATAACTATCTGATACTCACCCCCACCTGCAGTGAGCACATTGGTACCAGCATCTGCAGTTCAATAACTAGGCAAGGAAAACCATATCTATCTTACTTATTGTGTATCAAGTTGTCCTGAACTTAGTCTAGATCAATATTTACTTTATTTTTGACTTAACACAGGGTTAATATACATATGCATTCCTTGGTAGCATCTTATGACCCTGCCTTTCCCCATTCCCACCCCACCTGACTCAGCTGTGTTCTGAAGGCCATTTTATATACCTACGAGCCCATAATGTGCTTGGTTGAAGCAGTCACTTACATAGGGAAAGGCACTTCTGCCTCAAAATTACTCTTTCACCTAGATGACATTATGTCCATTGGATTAAAAAAAATTAAAAGTGAAAAGTCCTTTAGGTTTAGCTCTATCTTTTTTCCAGAAGATCTCTGGGGGGAAATGCAAATATAGATGGTGGAGAGGAGAACAAAGACTCCACCAATTTCCTTTCTAGTGTACTTGGATATGAGCATGTGTGCTATGGGATTCCAGGAGCCAAGGTACATTTGTGTTTGGAGGAAAATTGAGGTAGGAACTTAGAAAGAAAAAAAGGAGCTTCTGAAAGGAAGTGAAAGGATACAAAGGTAAAAAGATTAAAAATTTGGTGGGTGGGGCGCCTGGGTGGCTCAGTGGGTTAAAGCCTCTGCTTTCGGCTCAGGTCATGATCCCAGGGTCCTGGGATCGAGCCCCGCATCGGGCTCTCTGCTCAGCAGGGAGCCTGCTTCTTCCTCTCTCTCTGCCTGCCTCTCTGCCTACTTGTGATCTCTGTCTGTCAAATAAATAAATAAAATCTTTAAAACAAACAAACAAACAAACAAAAAACTTGGTGGGTGTGGTGCATAAACAATGAATTCTGGAACACTGAAAAAAATTAAATTATAAACAAAAACAAAACTTGGTGGCAGCTTTCCTTTACATCATGATTTTCTATGTCTAGCCTCATTAGCTAGATACATAATGTACTCACTACTTATTGTTGATAGAACATTTAATGTTTAAAGTGTTTTTGCACCTAGAAGAATGTTCATCACTCTTTACACATTTTAAAGCTGATTATCATTAATCTTTTATAACTACAGCCACTGTTTATGTAAAAATTTAAATATACAACTAGTCTTTTAAAACTAATTTTTTCAGCCATGGGAAACTAATATATTTAGTAAATTTAGATAATTATCAAAACCTATTTAATCAAATTAAATATTCAAATCTAATACATGAGTCTGTTAAAGATTTTAAATGTCATAAAATTAGGCAAAAGTTACAAATTATGAAATTGATTATGAGACCTGTTTAACATGTTTAACAGATGTGATCTCTTTTATAATTTGAAGATTATTTTTGTTATATCAATAACACTTTAAATCTATAGCTTTCACATGGGCTTTACCTTTTGGAATATGACATATTTGTTTAAAATGATGTGATTCTAAGACTTATTGGACAGTGTTAACTAAGTGCCAGGTGAGTCTCTCCTAATAACATTCATGGACAAATGTACTAATCTATATTTTTAATAGATGCATATTTAATTGAAGACTCAAGATAACCGTATATTAACAATCCTATTACCAATAAATAATATAAAACTTAAACATATCCTATTAGAGTCACTTTACTTTTTGCTTGGAAATTATATACATATATTATATACATGTGCATCGTATTAAACTTTCTGATTCTGAGTATTATTAGAATCAAATGAGATTTTGCAGATATATATATGCACAAACTGTCACAGATTGTCACAGGACTCACTTAATGCTAGCTTCTTCCCTCTTATTAACCAGAAATATATAAATATATTTTTAAAGATGTATTCATTTATTTTAGAGAGAGAGCATGAGAAGGATGGGTGGCAAATGGGGAGAGAGAGAGAGAGAGAATCCTCAGGCAAACTCCCTGCTGAGCACAGAGCCTGATGACAGGGCTTGACCCTGGGACATCGAGATCATGACATAAGCCAAAATCAAGAGATGAATGCTCAACTGAATAAGCAACCCAAGCACCCTCTAACCAGAAATATATTTTAAAATATTCTAACTTTCCACTAATAATATTTTGGTCCTGTACCCACATCCCAAGTCAATCATAAGTTCAGCTACTTTTCATTGACTACAATGCATAATGTTATGGGAGACTAAAATCTAGACGCTAGAAGTGTATGTAGGACTGTTCCAAATAAGTTACAATAAGTGGGCAGGAAGACATTATTACTGAACCAAGGTAGTAAAACAGATTTTTAAAAAGAACATCCTTTTTTTAGGGCCTCAAGTAGCTTATATTCCTTGAACATTTTATGTGGCAGACAGTGCTCCAAGTGTTTTAAAATACATTAACTCATTTCATCCTCATAACCAGCATATGAGTTGTTATGTTATAAAACACAAATCCGGGGGCTGAGTGGCTCAGTCAGTAAAGGGTCTGCCCTCAATTCAGGTCATGATCCCAGGGTCCTGGGATCAAGCCCTATGTCAGGCTGCATGCTCAGTGGAGAGCCTGCTTCTCCCTCTCCCTCTGCCCCTCCCCTCTCTCCTGCTCTCTCTCTCTCTCTCTCAAATAAATAAATTAAAACAAACAAACAAACAAACAAAAAACCACATAAATCCAGGGGGAAGCTGTGTGGCTCAATTGGTTAAGCATCTGACTCTTGGTTTTAGCTCAGGTCATGATCTCAGGATCTAGGGATCAAACCCTGCAATAGGCTCCCAGCACAGTGGGGAGACTGCTTGTCTCCCTCTTCTGCCCCTCCCACTGCTTGCATAAATAAATAAATATATCTTTAAAAATAAATAAATAAAATGTAAATCCATTTTGTAGATGATAACTCTTATTTAACTCTAATAGTACTCAATCTTTCTCTATTCTAATATGTGTTGTATTCACTTTGATATACTCTATTTGATTTTCAACTTCTCTCCCAAACTCTAATTATATTGTAATTTATCAAAAGTCTGTATATTTGATTATTCATCAACCTCCATTTTATAATCACTTTATTAACACTATATGGCACAGGAAAAATAAATATTAGCAACAAAAATAAGCATGTAATCACTCTGCATTTCTTCTTACTGCTCAAATTTAGTTAATGAAAGACTTTCTTAATTTTTCTTATGGAAGTTTAAGAATTACCAGTTCTCTTTTTAGATCTCAAATTTTAGGATGTATATTAATTTTTGGAAGTAATTATTTTTCTTATTTTCATATTTTCTCCTTTAATAAACTTTGTTTCTCATAATTATCTTTATTTATTGGATAATCTATGGTTAGAACCTGGAAAGCTAAATTTTCTAAATGAACTTGAGACATGACAAAGATAACTATATAACTATTATCAGTAGCTGACAATGTCATCATAGATCCTGGCTTTTGAAGGGAATGGTGATAAGGATATGGGAATTGGCACCTTTACCTGGTGATGTAGCAATGTGTGGAAAAATTAAATGTAAAATAAGCTTGTTTTCTTTTAAAGTTTTGTTCCTCTTCACTTGTCACCTAATATGTTAAAAAATATGAAATAACAAATGTATATTTATATAATGATTGT